AAAAAAAAAAAAAAAAAAAAAACAACTTGAAACGAATGAAAATAAAAACATTGCATTACAAAACTTAAGATATGCAGCAAAAGTTAACAGAAAAGGAAACAATAAAAATCAGAGGAAAAAAATTATAAAATAGCTAAACAGTAGAAAAGACTGATGAAACAAATGCTTAGTTTCTTTGGAAAAAAGCAAAGCTTACAAATCTTTAACTGGAATTAAAAAAAGAGGGAAATTAAAATTTCAAATGAAAAAGGAGACATTATGATTGATACTACAGATATACAAAGGAGACTACTGTAAACAATTATACACTAATAAATTAGACAACTGGAAGAAATGGATAAATTCCTAGAAACATATAAACTTCCAAGAATGAATTATGAAGAAATAGAAAGTCTGAATAGATCAATAATGACTAAAGACATTGAATCAGTAATCAAAAAATTTCCAAACAAAAACAAAAAAGTCTAGGACCTGATGGGTTTACTGGTGAATTTCACTAAATATATATACATTTTTTTCTGCTCAGCTGGCACATTTATTGGCATTAAACACAAGACCCTTCCCTTTCCAGCACCAGGAAGCCACGCCCAAAGTGTGTCCCTCTGCCCCATTTCTGCAAAAACTCTCAGGCCTTATCAGTAGCCTGAGCTGCCCCCAGGGCTGTGAGCTGCTGAATCTTCTGGCTCATCATTTCCATGGCAGCCTGTTTCATGGCGTGCTTCTCCTGGAGAGCTGGTTGGAATTTCTCCATCTGCTTGCTTAGAAAATCTATCTTCCTCTTGAAGAAGTCCTTAGCATCCTCGGCTATCTTCTCTACATAGTACCCAGTTCCCACATTGATGAGCACGTGCTCCACATCATGCAGTTTCCCAGGGACATACATAGAACTCGTCAGTGGGACGAGTAATTCTTTCCCCTCGTTGCTCTTGTTCAGCACGTTCAGACAGTCCTTGGCTCCCACATACTTGGTCTCTACCACTTTGAGCTGGGCAATGGATGTGGACAAGAACTCCACTTCCTGGTCCAGCTGGTTTTTGAGCATTTCTAGCTGCGGCAGATTCAGCTCCGCGATGTTAATCGATTGTGCCATGTTGGGAAGGAGGACTACCGAAAGCCACTAAATATTTTTTTTAAGATTTAATGTTACTCCTTCTGAAACTCTTCCAAAATACTGAAGGAGAAAAAACACTTCCAAACTAATTTTGTAAGGCCAGCATACCCTGACACCAAAGCCAAATAAGGTCAAGACAGAAAAATTATAGGCCAACAACCTTAATGAATAGAAAAATCCTCAACAAAATACTAGCAAACAGAATTCAACAACACATGACTTATACACCAAGAGCACAGAATTATATGCCATAATCGAATGAGGTGTATCCCTGGGATGTAAGAACGGTTTAACAAATACAAATCAATAAATGTGATACATCACATTAGCAAAATGAATGGTAAAAATCACATGATCATCTCAATAGATGGCATAAAAAACAACTGACAAAATTTAGCATCCTTTTATGATTAAAAATGCTCAACAAATATATATAGAAGGAATGTACCTCAACATAATAAAGGCCATGTATGACAAGTCCACAAATAACATAGTACTGAATGGTGAAAAGTTAAAAGCTTTTCCTTGAAGATCAGAAACAAGACAAGAATGCCCACTATTAATACCTCTATTTAATATAGTACTGGAAGTTCTATCCAGAACAATTAGGCAATAAAAAGAAATAAAAATCATCCAAATCAGAAAGGAAGAAGGAAAATGTCACTATTTGCAGATGACGACATCTTATATTTTGAAGACAAGGCCTGGCTCTGTCACCCAGGTCAGAGTGCCATGGCACAATCTGCCTCCCAGGCTCAAGCCATCCTCCCACCTCAGCCTCCCAAGTAGCTGAGACAACAGAGGCACATCACCATGCTTGGAACTTTTTTGTATAGACAGGGTTTTGCCATGTTGCACAGGCTGGCCTCAAACTTCTGAGCTCAAGCAATCTGCCAGCCTCAGCTTCCCAAAGTGCTGGGATTACAGATGTGAGCCATCGCACCCAGCCAACAGCATCTTAAATATAGAAGACTCCACCACAAAGCTGTTAGAACTAATAAAATAATTCAGTGAAGTTGCAGGATACAAAATCAGCATACAAAAATCAGTGGACTCCAGGCATGATGTTGTTCACTTGTAGTCCCAGCTACTTGAGAGGCTGAGGCAATGGGATGACTTGAGCCCAGGAGTTTCAGGCCAGCCTGGGCAACACAGCAGGAACCTATCTCTTAAAAAAAATTTTTTAATTAATGGTATTTCTATAACAACAAAATAACTGAAAAATAAGAATACAATCCCATTTACAACAGCATTAAAAAAAAATCAGGAATGAATTTAACCAAGGAAGTGGACAATCCATACACTGAGCACTGTAACACACTGATGAAAGAAATTGAAGAAGACACAAATAAATGGAAAGATATCTCATATTCCTGGATTTGAAGAATTAATATTGTTAAAATATCCATGCTGCCTGTCTTAGTCTGTTTTGTACATGATACCAGAGACTTGGTTATTTATAAAGAAAAGAAATTAATTTCTCACAGCTTTGGAGTCTAGAAAATCCAAGATGAGGGACTGTCATCTTGTGAGGGCCTTCTTTCTGTGTCATCCATGGCATTAAGACCAAAGAGAGGGTGAAAGAGAACAAAAAATGTAGTTCACAGCCTCAAATCCTTTTACAGTAGGTATTAATTCATTCAGGAGGGTGGAGACCTCATGACCTAAATACCTCCCCTTAGGCCCCATTTCCCAAAACTGTCACACTGGGATTAAGTTTCCAACACATGCTTCTGGGGGAACACATTCAAACCATAGCTCTACCCAAATTAAACTACAGATTCAATGCAATTCTTATCAAAATTCCCAATGGCATTTTTTATAGTAATGGATAAAACAATTCTGAAATTCAGAAAAAAACACAATAGATCCTAAACAGACAAAGCAATCTTGAGCAAGAAGAACAAAGCTGGAAGCATCACACTACCTGATTTCAAAATACAGGACAAAGCTATAATAATTAAACAGCCTGATACTGTAGACCAGTGGAGTAGAACAGAGAGCCCCAAAATAGGTCCACACATTTACAGTCAATTGATCTTTGACTGAGGTGCCAAGAACACAAATGGGAGAAGGACAATCTCTTCAATGAATGATTCTGGGAAAATTAGATATCCAAAGGCAGAACAATAAAATTGGATCTTTATCCCACATCATATACAGAAATCAACTCAAGATGGGGTAAAGACTTAAACACAAAACCTGAAACAATAAAACTAGAAGAAAACACAGTGAAAAAGCTTCTTGACATTGATCTAGGCAATGATTTTTTGGATATGGCCTCAAAAGCGCAAATAGATGTGATTTTGCTTATGACAACAAAAGCAAAAATAGATAAATGGAATTACGTCAAACTACAAAGCTTCTGTACAACAAAGGAAACAACCTATGGAATGGGAGTTAAGGGACAATCTATGGGATGGGAGAAAATATTTGCAAACAATACATCTGATAATGGATTAATTTCAAAAATATGGAAGGAACTCAAGCAACTCAACAGCAAGAAAACAGCGAGATTTTTAAAAGGACAAATGACCTAAGTAGACATTTCTCAAAAGAAGACATGCAAGTGGCCAACAGGTATATGAAAAAGTACTCAACATCACTAATGAGGAAAATGTAAATCAAAACCACAGTGAGATCCCCTCACACCTGTTAGAATTTCCATAATCAAAAAGACAAAAGATAACTATTGGCAAGAATGTAGAGAAAAGCGAACCCTTGTACACTGTTGGTGGGAATGTTGGTGCAGCCATTATGGAAAACACTATGGATGTTCCTCAAAATGTTAAAACTAGAACAACCATATGATCTGCCAATCCACTTATGGATAGATATCTGAAGGATGTGAAATCACAAAGAGATTCTGGGATTCACTGCAGCAATATTCACATAGCCAAGATGTGGAACCAACCTAATAGTACATGAATGGATGAATGAATAAAGAAAATTGTGTGTGTGTGTGTGTGTGTGTGTGTGTGTTGCACACATACAATGGGATGCTATCCAGCCTTAGAGTAAAAGAAAATCCAGTCACTTGTGACAACATGGGTGAACCTGGAAGACATAATGCTAAGTGAAATAAGCCAGGCACAGAAAGACAAATACTGCATGATGTCACTTATATGTGGAATCTTAAAAAGCTGAACTCATGGAAGATTAAATAGAATAGTGGTTGTTAGTGCTAGGGCTGGGGGAAATGGTCAAAGGGATCAAAGTTTCAGCTATGTGAATGAATAAACTGTGGAGATCTAAGGTACAGTACGGTGACTATAGTTAAGATCATACTGTATACTTGAAATTTACTAAGAGAGTAGATCTTAAACGTTCCCAACACACACACACACACACACACACACACACCACACACACACAACTATGTAAGGTGATGATCATGTTAATTAGCTTGGTGTTGGTAATTATTTCATAATGTATATGTATTTCAAAAACATCACATTGTACACCACAAGTATATACAATTTTAACTTGCCAAATATACCTCAATAAAGCTGGGAAAATATTTTTAATACATAAATTGTAAATAATAAGACTAAAGAAATATGACTCCAAGCACTTTCCCAGCAGCCTGACTGGTCACTGTTGATGGGCCCCCAACCCACAGCAGAGCTGAACAACACTACAGGGTCCCTCAGAGGCTGCAGCTTTGATGCCTCCAGCCACACCTGAGCATAGGATCTTTGCCAAGGCCTAGAACCTCAGTCCAGCCACTCTAAGTGTGGCCATTTCCTTGGGAGGAACCACCCCCTCTTCCCAGGTACTGTCCTACTACAGTAGGATTATAGAGTTCACACTCTCAGGGACTTTAATTTTCCTCTCATCACCTTCTCTCCCTAAGTTAATCTCCTCCACTCAGAGTCTCTCTCCTTCTCCCTCTCCCTGCCAGGATAATCCAATACAGTCATCCTCAAAGTGTGGTATTGGACCAGCAGCTCCTGCACCACCTGGAAATTTGTTTAAAATGCACCCTTTTGACCCCTCTTAAGACCCACTGAACCAGATACTCTGGGAGTGGAGCTCAGTAATTTGCGTTTTAGCAAACCTTCATAGGGATTCTGATGCATGCTCAAGTTTGAGAACCACTGGTCTAGTAAAATCCTTTCAGTGAAATTATATTTTTAAAACCAAAAGCCAAGAGCGGGGCTTATCCTGAGATAGCTTCAGGTTCTGGTCTCTGCAACACAGCATCTTCCTACCTGGTGAGCAAACAACAAACACCAGAGCCCTAGGCTAGGGAGGGACAAAGAGGACCAACATGTTTGGCAGTGTGGGTTGCACACTGCACAACTCTAGGGGGTGCTACCCACATAAACTATCATGCAAATGACACAGTATGGTGGACAGGTGGGAACATCAAGGAACAAAGGGACAGAAAGAGGGATCTTGTGGTTATTTGAATAAGTGGGCTTTGGGGGATTTGTTCCCCAGTAACTGGCAATTGGGAAGCTGGGAAGAAAAGCAGTGCAAAACCTGAACTCAGCCCCAGGGGGCGCTCTATATGCAGCCAACACGCATCACAGGTCAAACTAAGAATGCGTTGTTCAGGGGGTCTCCATCGCAAATGCCCACAGGAGCCAGGCTGGCATGTAAAAAGACTAGAGAATGTAGCCCTGCAAAGGTGCAAGCACTACCAGCCATTGCCATTGTGGCCACGTGGGATGCTGAGCTCAACCTTGTCAGATCTTCCATTTTAAAAACAAACGAAACCAGAAATCCATGTCTAATCAAATCTCCAGGAATCCCTTTAAATATTTTAAACAGGTTCTGATTCATTTTTACCACTCCATTTCTTCCACCTGTGACAGATTCTTATTTTTAAAAAACACTTTGTAATGTATCCAGAATACATAAATTGCTCTCAAAACCCAATTAAAAACAAAATAAGCAAAAGAGTTGGACTCGACAGCCCATGAATAGATGCTTAATATTCATCAGTAGGAAAATGCAAATTAAAACCATAATAAGTTAATGCTGTGCATTTATT